ATAAAAAATATGGGGTCAGTTTGATTTTCATATTTGATTTTAAACTTAAATCTATATGTAAATTAAAACGTCCTTCTGAAGCGGGCGACAGAATTTTCGATTCCGGTGACCGATAGCTTCTTACGGGCAACTCCGCCACCAACTCTATTTTTTATCGCCGACATATATTTCTGATAATATTTTGTTAGCCCAAAAAATTATTAAAGATCTTGACAGAAAATGCAGAGGTGGCAATTTGATTATCAAACTGGATATTAAAAAGGCCTTTGATACAATAAGCTGAGACTTCATCATCAATGTCTTGGTGACTAGAGGTTTCAGTGCTAGTTTTTGCATGCTAATTAAAAGATGGTTGTCCAATAACCATTACAGTGTGCTCGTTAATGGTAATTCCTATGGATTTTTCTATGCTAAAAAGGTATTAAGCAGGAGGACCCTCTCTTCCGTACCATTTTCATCATTGCTTTTGATTACTTATCTAGATTAGTCAATCGTTTTCAATTGCTTCACCCTCACACGCAATTCTCACACAAGGCTAAGTCTATGATTTCCCACTTAGCCTATGCTGATGATATTATCATCTTTGCTTATGCATCCAAACTTGCTATTAAAAGATTAATGATGCACTTAAATGAGTTCCAGAATTGCTCTGGTTTGATTTTTAATTGTGACAAATGTTAGCTTTATTTTGGCAAACATGTCAAACACTCTATTGCAAATTGGTGGTCTTCCTTCACTGGTTATCAGCACGCCTCCCTCCCTTTAAAGTATCTTGGGGTAAATTTAATTAGGGGTAGGAAAAAGCAGATTCACATGGATGATGTCATTGACAAAATTAAGCATAAGATAAATGACTAGAGGAATGTCTTCCTTTCTGCTGGGGGTAGGCTAACTTTACTTTCTAGTGTATTACAAAGTATACCACTCTATGTTTTACAGGTGTTCAATCCTAAGATGAGTGCCATGAAGGTTTTGAAGAGGCTCTTTAACAGATTCCTGTGAGTTGGGAGTGGTGCTAAGAAGATTTGGGTTTCCTGACATAATATTTGTAAACCTAAAAAAACTGGGGGTTTTGGTTTTAAAACTTTGCAGCAAATCGTTGAGGTAACACATGTAAACTTTGGTTTAAGTTTAGAGAGTTTTTCTATTTGGACCTCTTTTATGCATCAAAAATACTGTGCTTCTTCCCATCCTTCCCAGGTGTTGTGGAAGGTGGGAGACTCGAGGATCTGGAAGGCCATTTTGAATGCCAGATCTATTGCTAGAAACTTTATTTTTTGGGATCTTGGGGAAGGAAAAATTTCTTTCTGGAATGATAATTGGGGAATGCATTCTCTTTCAGAGCACACCCATCCATCTCATACAAACGATTTGCTAGTTTCTGATCTATTTACACAAGGAAATTGGGATTTCTCTAAGTTTTGTTCTGTGGTGGGGGAGCTGAATGTTGTGCACATTTCTAAAATTCCTGCTACTCCTTCCCGCAGAGACTATTCTGTTTGGAAGAAGTCTTTATCTCAGTCAGTCAGTAAGTTGATTATGGTACTTTACACTCTCATCCTGATTGGTTTTGGGTGATTGGTTTTGGGGCACTTGGTTTTGGGGCACTTGGATTTGGCATAAACTCTTTTCTCCTTCTATCTCTTTCTTCCTCTTGCGTTATTTCTTTTCCTTACTCTCTCTTGATGACATTCTGAAACTGAAAGGTTTAAGATGGCTTCAAGATGCCCTTTGTGCAGGGACATATTTTTTTGGAATGTGCTTTTTCAACAGAGGCCTGGAATCATTTGGGATTACATTGTGGTATCCTCTGGTCTCACAGGGGCACTTTAATTAATTACTTGTGGGAGTGGAAATCTTTTGCTGATGATGAGGGAAGGCGTTTTTCCTTCCCTCTGCTGGTCCTCTGGTTTTATGGTCTACTAGAAACAACCATTAATACGATTCCTCCCCTCTACTGCCACTATCACTACTTCCTATATACTGGTTTATTTTTTTAATGCCCTAAGGGCCTCTGCTAATTTTGCTCCCCTAGGTAAGAAATCTAGGCCCTCTCTGTTAGTCAGTTGGACGCCGCCTCCTTCTCTTGGCTGGGTGAAAGTTAATGTTGATGGCAGCTGGGATATGCTGTTTGCTGCTGTTGGTGGCCTCTTTAGAAATTTTGAGGGGCATTTTCTGGGTTATTTTATTTCACCTGTTGCCGTTGATACTCCCTTATTAACTGAATGTTGGGGGGTCTATCTTGCTTTAAAAGTAGCAATTGCTTTTAATTTTCATACATTTACAGATGAAACTGACTCTAAACTGCTATATGAGATGTTATGGATGTTTCTCCACCCCACTGGGATATTATCTGTACTCTCAAACGAATACAAGCTATAATTGCTAATCGTCATCTGACTGTTAGATGGAGTTTTATTCATAGGGAAGGTAACTCACCTGCTGACTGGTTAGCCGGGTATGCAGGTGAAGTGAGTTTTATTGGTTTATCCCCCCTATCCCCCTCCGACTTTTACTTACTGGGGACTCTTTGGATTTGCCTTATGTTAGAACTTAGAGGTTTTGCCTGCCTATTGGCCTGCTCCCCCGTTTGGAATTTCTGCTACGCTTTTGTCCTTTTTATCTGCACTGTTTTCTTTGCTGTTCTCTCTTTTCAAGTCGGATGGATCTTCTGATATGCTGGATACTATTTTGCTGGTCCTCTCATATGGATCTAGTTTCTGCTGGTTTGCCTCTGTGATGTCTGGGCATATTTGGTATGGAGCTCTTTGGAATTTTTGTCTGATGCCACTTTCTTGGCTTTCCTTTTATTTTTATCTGTTTTTACTAGATTTTGCACATGTATATTTGTTTTGGGTTTTGTATTTTGTTTGGGTATACTTGTATTTTTTCGGGTTTTTATCTGTCTGGGTTGTACTGTGGGAGGAGAAACGGTGAGTTTACAATGTATTTTTTTGCTTTTTAGACTGGGGATCCACCTCCCCTCCCCTCTCCTGTACTTTTTTCTTATTTTAACACGTATGGATATCGATATTGTGGATATATCAGGTTCGATTGTGTGAAAATTAACTTTAGGAGCAAAGGAAGACAAATCCATAAAAAGTTCAGGGTTTGTGGGCCTTTGATACCAAATGATTCATTTTACTGCTCCTAAAAGGTGTTTAGAAAGCAGTTTAGACAAGAGGTGGTCGTGGAATAACAAATGAATGATGTTATGCAAGGTCGACGACATTTGGAGGGGGTAAACGATGAAATCTGTTGCTGGACGGTAGATTTGCACTGTTTGGTGGCTGTCCCTGCTGAAAATAGCAAGGCAGATGACAAAACAATGCGGTACCGGCAGCAAGAAGGTTCACTAATCACTACCCATTCTGAGCAAGATGCAAATACACTACTTGTAAAAGGAAGGTAACACAATACTCCTAAACCAGGAAATCAGAGATTACAATTTTCATAATACTCAAAACAAAATAGAAGTCCTCCCAAAATAGAAAACAAAAATATAAATAGTCTCCTAATAGAAAATACCCAAATTAGAAATAAGGAAATAGAAAATAAATTGGAGAAGGAAAAAAAGAAAAGAAAGGTAAAATAAATATGGAAAATTAGCACTTGTTCCTCTGTCGCGATCTTGGCTTTCCGTTATCCCGTGGAAATGCAGGATCTGCAATTCTGCGGACCGCGGAACCGATGCTCCGCTTCAATCATGGTCCTTATTTGTCAGTTTGTTATTTAATTTTTTAGGTTTTAAATAAGATTATGGCTATTATTATTATTTAATTGTAGAGTATTTGAAGAGTTTCTAGTAACAATGCAATCACACAATGATCAACATTAAATTCATTTTTGTTGTTTTTAAAATGTTTCTAAATGTTGTTCAAAGTTGGATATCTTTATGGATGCTATTTGCAGATCAATGAACAGGTGGGAAATCTTTACTTGAAAATTAGAATAAAAGAGAAAACTTTTATTGACTAATAATTGGGTGAACAAAGACTGAGTACATGATGCATAGTTTTAGTGGATATGGTTTATTAATTATCCGAAGATTCTGGAAGATTCAGTGATACCATGGTGTGGACGTCAACGATGGCAACTTCAAATGTTAGTATTACGTGATAAAATGGTGAAGCGCTTTAAATGTACTGTATAATATGAGAACATCATTGAGTCTCAAAGACAAATTTTATAAAATCAAAATGAGTCTTTTTATGAATGTTGGCTTTGAGACTTGAAGAAGAAAGAGTAGAGATGAAACTTTAATACGGATGTGTGTTAAAACTAGAAGGATATAAGTAAATGATTATATTTAAAGCTAGATAGAATAAATAATTACATTAGTCAAGCTGTTAAGGAAGAAAAGTAGACTTGGGTGATTTAAGTGCATGTAAAAGAGGGTTGAAAATGCAACAATTTATTGGTGAATAGAATTAGTGTGGAATGATGAGTAGGAAAAAGGCTAGAAAAAATGGAACATCGCTAGAAGTTTCAGAGAAATGTTAGCGCATGATAGAATTATCACATTATATATCCCTTTATGGGAATGAATTGGGGATAATTCATAAATATGACCCGAAATTGTTGGGTTAAAACTAAAAATGATGACTATTATATGCATTTTAAACTGCTTGTAAAGAATTATCTTGCTTTCTGACATCGTCATGGAAACGTTATTTTTTAATCAGTCAAAGAAGAAAGAAGCAAATTCAATTCTTTAGTATAGAGGATGTTTGTGACAGTATAATATATCTACATGAAGTACTTCGATGGAAACAGAAGCAGCTTTGTTGTAGTAGTTTGAAAGGTGAAAACGGTCTGAAAATGTATTATTAATTGCAGAAGAACCCTTAGATGAAATATACTGTGAAATATCTGCAAAATCTATATCAATAGATATTCTATCTGCTATATATCTTTGTTAAATTAGCGCATAGGTATTTCGAATATCAAAATTTGGTAGCTTTATTCCAATGATTGATGAGTTTCTGAGCGAACTGCAGGTTCCTGTTGTTATGTGTCCCAAGGATGATAGCTTCCCTGGACTTTACTGCTCGCATTTTCTTCCTTATCCATGGCTTTCTGATGGATATACTACTATTCTGTCATCCACATGGCGTAGCACAGAAGCAATTCTTTCTATCAATATTTTGAGGTATCTATTTCACCCTAAATGCAACATATGTTTGAGTGTGATCCCGTATAATAATTTTTGGAAGATTTAAATACATACCACTTAATTCCTATGTATTTACATATTCAACACCTAAACTTCAATTTCAATATATATGCCACCTTACCTACATATGTTTGAAAGGTGTATTTCACTTTTTAAAAGTTAAAATAATGGTATTTTTGATGTGATATGAAAAGTTTGGGTGGTATAAATGTAAGAAGTAAAGTTTAGGTGTTAGATATGTGAATACAAAAGAATTAGGTGGTACACATGTACATGCCCCATAATTTTTTTGTTTGTTAAATCACAGTGGGAAAGTATCACGAATTAGTTCCACTGACACGATTTATTCGTGGAATGTTCTTTCACTGGATGGGGATAACATCCTTGCTGGTATGCTGCTTTTCATTGTATTGTAAAAGAAAAGAGTGCCAAATGGTCATCTGACTTTTTCTGCGGGGTCATTTTAGTCTCATAATTTATAAAAGTGTCAATTTAGTCCCCAAACTTTTAATATTAATTAAAAATAAAATAGTCAATTTTAGCGCCATCAAAATAATTTGGGGACTAATTTAGCAATTTTATAAACTCTGAGACTAAAGTGACCTCATCTAAATAGTCAGGAGACTATTTTGACATTTTACCCTATGGGAAAAAATCCTTCTTGTTACTTCACCTTCTTCAATCTTAAAGTCTCCAGCAGCCCAATAGATCCCCCGAACCTGAAGTATGGATTCTACACAAGCCACACGGAACAATCTTCATGGGGTTGGCTAGATGTTTCATGTCCAGTAGCTGAGTGCTCTGATAAGGTTTCAGGATATTTCTTTAAATTTCCTCAGTATATTTTTCATTTGTGAGTTATTATAGTAGTATAGATTGAAAGGCTTTACTTTTACTATTGTATTATTTATCGGATATGCTGTACTTTGATTTTCATTTTTATTGCCACAGGTTAGATCTTTATTGGCTTCTAACCAGTGTAGCATTCTGAAAATACCTGTTCGTAATTCTTCTGAGACCCTTTCTGAAGGTAATATCCAACATCATCACGAATGGTTATTTTTTTATGTTTGTTTCATTGTTATGCTTAGCCTTTTAAATCTTTGGGACCGTTTTAGATCACTTTTAATTTTTTTCTTTATTTATTTTCCTTATGTTTTAATATGAAGCAAAATATGTTTGACATATTGGATTAAGATATGATTGCTTTTGAAACCTTCAAAAAATCTCACCAACAGTCTTCCCGAGGGATTGCTGCCATCGAGGGATATTCAACATGCCATAGATCTCATACTAAGACCAATATTGCTGAATCGACCCGCCTACAGGTTAAGACCGACAAAGTATGAGGAGTCACAACGACAGGTGCATGATCTAATCGTGAGAGGGTTTGTTAGAGAAAGTACTAGCCCTTGTGCTATTCCTGTCTTAATGGTACCCATGAATGATAGGATGTGGAGAATGTGCATTGACAACGGAGCCATCAATAAAATTACCATCAAGTATTGGTTCCCCATACCTTGTTTGGATGATATTTTGGATCAGTTGCACGTAGCTACCATCTTCGCCAAAATCGATTTACGCAGTGGGTACCAACAGATGCGAATGAGGCCAAGAGATGAGTGTAAGACCATTTTCAAAACACGGGATGAGTTATTTGACTGGACCGTGATGCCCTTTGGCTTGTTAAATGCGCCTAGTAATTTATGATGTTGATGAACTAGGTATTACGGCTCCACATCGGGAATTTTGTGTTAGGCTACTTCAATGACATTCTGGTAACAACAGATCTGGGGAGCACTTATATCACAATCGGGCAGTGTTTGAGGTATTGCAAGCAGAGCAACTTTATGCTCATCTAGAGAAATGCCATTTCATTACAAACGGTTTATTTTTTGGGGTATATCGTGCCTAGTGCAGACATTTAGATGGACACTACAAAGATCAAAGCCATTATCAGTTGGACCACACCACAATCATTCATCGAACTGAGGCAGTTCTTGGGGCTAGCATCGTTCTGTCAAAGATTTATCAGGAACTTCAACACTATTACCACCCCTCTGACAGAGCTTTTAAAAAGGAAGGAATTCACATGGACAATGACAACTCAGATCAACTTCGACACCTTGAAGGAGAAAGTGACTCGAGTGCTCGTGCTATCCTAATTAGATTTCATCCATCCATTGGAGGTATAGTGTGACACATTTGGCGCGGGAATAGGAGCAGTGCTGAGCTAGGGGGGTCATCCCATCGCCTACTTCAGTGAGAAGCTGAATGACTCCTGGAGGAAATAATCAACACATGACAAGAAATTTTCTGTCAATGTACAAGCTCTGGAGCACTGGACTCGTTACCTACTGACTGGCGAGCTCACTCTGTTTTCAGATCACAAGACCTCAAAGTTTCTCCAGAAATTAAGCAAATTGAAGGACCAATACAACACGTGGGTGGAATTTCTAGTGTCATTCTAATTTATAATTGAACCCAAGGTGGGAAGCTAAAACCGCGTTGCAGTCGATCTGATTTGTCTCCACTTATTGATCACAACAATGCAGACACGAGTTATGGGATTTGAGGTCGTAAAGAACTTGTATAATGCAGACGAGAACTTAAAAAAAATTTGGGAACAATGTGAGGAGAAACCGACAAACAGTATTAACAAGCAGATGGCTACTTATTCTACCAGACTCAATTATACATTCTCAAGTGTTTGTTGTGAGAGGCCATTGTTCAAGAGAGCCACAATGAACGATTAGCTGCATATTTTGGCAAAGACAAGACTTTTGCCATCGTGAGAGCATTTCTGTTGGCCTCTATTAACACGAGATGTGGGGTGACTCGTCAGACAGTACAGGATTTGTCAGTCGGCAAAGATGAGAGAGAAAAATGCAGGGTTTTACACTCCATTACAATACCAGAGGCACCGTTGGTGGATGTTAGTATGGACTCCGTTGTGCCACTCCCGAGGATATAGAGAACAAGGACTACGTGATGGTTGTAGTGGACCGCTTCTCAAAGATGACACACTTCGTTCCCTGCAACATGAAGCTGGATGCGTTTCATATCGTCGATTTATACTTCCAAGAGATCGTGAGGTTACACGGGATTCCCAAGACCATTACCTCTGACAGAAATGTCAAATTCATGAGTCACTTCTGATTATGGGAGAAACTAGACACCAAACTCTAATTCAAGTTCAGCAGAGAAATTCAAGAGAATCCTCAAAATCATGCAAAATTGAAGACTGTGTTTCTTCTTCTCTAATATGTATAATCCTTCGCTGCTTTGTCAGCCTTAAACCCAAGTGAAACCAGTTAATATGTTATTACTCCATCAAAAATATTCAAGCGTGATTTAAGTTGTATTATATTATTAAAATGAATTCTGCATTTCTAAGGTAGTAAATATTTATATGCTACTAATAACTTGCTGGTATTGATATTGAATTGACGCTTAGCAACATTTGGCGATTTTTCTTATGATTCAAGAGATGAGAACCTATTCTTATGCCTCATAAATGGATTATTTTCACAATAAGTTAGTTCATATCCAAGTAATTACCTCTTCATTTATAAGCTCAATGTTCTGAATATTGGAACCGTTAACGTTCTTTCTTCTATTTATTTACTGTTATCTGAAAGCCATTGCAGGTGCCAGGAGACCGTTTGAAGCTATTTTCATTTCACACTCGAGTTGTGAATCCAAGGAAACATGGCAAGAGAACAAAAAAGATGATGTACGTAGTCCATTAATTGTAATCATACATGGTGGTCCTCATTCGGTTTTTTCAACTACCTATGCGAAATCCGTAGCATTTCTCTCCTCTCTCGGCTACAATTTACTCCTTGTAAACTATAGGTGAGTTTACATGCTGTAATATTTAACTCATGATAGATTGAGATTTTTGTCAATTTTACATAATTGCCCAACATAGGTTGCTTGTATCATTTGTGACTCTATTTTATACTCAAAGCATTTGTTCGGCTAACATCTAATACCTGTAAAATCTCTAGAATTAGAGTTGGTTCTTGTATGAATAATCCTGGAGTAAGACTCCTTTGCGTATACATTTTATATTATTGTTGAAACTAATTTTACTTGAGAATTATTTTGGTAATTTTGGGTTTATTAAGCTACTTGTCTTTCTATATTGTTTCGCAAGTTGTAGTGTCTTATTGCTGAAAAATATCCATAACCAATGCTGATTAAAGTGGAGTACTTTTCTTAGATGACTATAGATTTAGTTGGATTGATTAGCATAGCAATGTCATCATTATGATTAATCAGCTTTACAATTTTATTCTGATTATTTGAGGTTGGCTTTTTAATCATACATCCTGCTAAATGTCGCAAGAATTGTTAAACTTATTTGGCATTTTTCTTTCACACAGCTTTTTCCATGTATTGCATCAAGGGAGTGGCGAATTTGATGCGAGGATATTTTGATAAAATCATTTTTGCGCATAAGATTGCGATGTTTTCCACGTGATCATCTATGTTAAATCTTCTATGCATTATTTTTTTGTCATAGTCACACGAGTAACTTCGTGCAAGCAATGCGATCAGGCATTTGTAGAGCGAGGATATCCTAGGTGTGCAAAAGGCGGCATGAATGATTCATGCGTTCGTCGACTCGGATGAATTTGATGAGTTAGACTCTGAAGTGCACACCGTCATTTCCAACGTTCATCTCTTGCAAAAAAACTCTTCTTAGCTACCTCACACATTATCCCACCTTTTGGGTTTTTTTGGTGATTTTATTCCAATTCCATGGAATGTTTTTGATGTTGATGCCCTCTCATGTTGTTCGCGTCTTGTTTGTTGTTGGTTTCATTGGTACATAGGGCAACCCCAAATTTCACATATCTCTGAATTTAACCGAGGGGGAGAGGATTAATTGGGATCACATGAAATGTTGAATTCCTCTAGAGCCTTCACATTCCTCCCATTCCCTCTACCAAATTCTCCTTCACACGAATGCTACAGCTCAGTCCCTTTAGCGGGCGCGACTTGAGCGACCAACAGAGTGCTGTAGGTGGCATTTTAGGGCTTCAGAGGAGTAACTGGGATTAGGAATCCCTCTTTGTGATATTTCAGACATCCCTTTTCTTACATTTTCATTTTGATGCTTGTCACAAATAGGTGCACTTTTTAGTTTCCATTTGTTGTAGGAGGAGGCGAGCTTATGACAGAAGCTACAAACTTGATTTGCGGGCGTCCATATGGGCCTTTAGCAGGAAATAAATGAGGTTAAGGGGATAAGAGGGAGGGGGAAGAAGTTTAAGAAGAGAGAGGAAGTATAGGAAGTTTCAAAGAAGAGCTAGTTATGCAGAGAAGCCCATTTGAGGTAAGAAAGTCATGTATGGGGTTAAATCATGAAATGAGCCAAGATTTCATGAAATTTTAAGATTTTTATGAATTCGAGGTTGTTTGCATTAGTCGGTGAGTTTAAGGCGAGCTTGGGGAAATTCGTTGGGGAGTTGTTCCGTCAATTCAAGTGAAACAAGTGTTAACTTATTTCTGTAGGTTTCCATGTGATTATGTGTTCGACACTTGCATTTAGAAATTTCTGCATATTGTGGATGCATGCCTGCATATTCTGTATGAATGCACGCTTGATTTGTCCCTTAGGATACCTAAGATTTTACTATATTATGAATCTGATAAACATGCTTATTAAATTATTGTTCAGAGTTATTTATTTAGTATGATTCGTGCATATGATATATGAAATCCATATATTAATTCTTAAATGTCACAAGTGATGTTTTATGTGGGCTATTAAATGAATACTAGCAAGCATGGATAATATGAAACGATGAGATTTTGGACACCTGGTATTAAGACGGTGACAAAACTCTGGGAACCGTTGGGATTAAACAGTGATGAAACATAGAGAACCATTGGCGCTTGGGTGACTATTGATAACTACTATATTGGGAGGGCTCAACCTTTATCAATAGTTAGTGTGACATGCGGGCCGTTTTATTCTTCCGAATTATGATTCTAATTATAAGTTTAGAAAATAATATTATGTTAGTTTTAGAAAAGTGAGATCGAGCGGACCTCACATATTTGATAGTTTAGGAAGCTGAGCACGATATCACAAGTAGTATACTATCCCGAATGATATGCATATAACTTGTTGGCAGACTTAAAGGCTCGATTACCTAAACTAAAAGATTTGTGACATTCGTTTGGTCTACGAAACCATTTTTATAAGCCGACAAGTTCTCCTATTTAATACGGGAGATTAAATAGAGTTTATTTTAAGTTGGGTTCTTAAATTCTCTATAAGGGAAAACCCTTATAGTTAATTACATCTTAAATGACCGAAGTCGCTTAAGAAGTCTCTTAATTAAGATCATGGGTTTTGCCTTCAAGATTGTAAAGTTTAGGTTTCCAAGATTAAATGCGAGGAAATCAAAAGGGAATGACTCAAAAGAGGAACAGTTATTTTCAGGAGTCAATGGAGTGAAAGATAGGGGATGTCATAGATTCGGAGAACCCCAGTGACTTCCCAACTATCCTACGATTGGACCTTAACTCTAAAGAGACATCCTACACCTCGTTGTCGTGGTCTCGATCGTCGCCCTCCGTCCGCTTGCTTCCACACTCCGCTTCTTGGAAAGACTACTCTAAACTCCCTAGTATATCGATCATAAGCTCGGGGTTGTGGTGTATATAAATGTACAGTTATTGGGTCAGTGGCTCGCTACGGGGTACCTTCTAAACCAGGTGTTCTACTGGCCTCTAACCCAAAAAGTCCCTTGCAAGTTTGTAGAAGCAACATGAATTATAAAAGAGAACATGCTAGAAATGCAGTAAACAGTAATATTGCATGCTTGAATTGTGTGTATATGCAATAAAGTGTGCAATAGCAAAAACAAAAGCTGTAAAGATAAAACAAACCTGTATACCTGACAGGTCGGCGACTCTTGAAAAGACTCAATAAATAGCGGCAGAGGACCCACAGTAACTCGAAGAAAACTGTCGAAAACATGAGGAAAATTCCGAGAAAATCATGAATGCTCTACAAAGATTTCGATAGAACCGTAGGAAAACACGAAAAAAAAAATCTGAAGAAAGAAAGAAAGTGAAGAAAGAAAGAAAGTCGTAAGAAAGAAAGTCGTAAGCATTCGGGTCAGGCTAGGCTCAGAATTAGGTATTCTCGAGGGACTTCGAAAGCAAATATCGGTCACCTGTATGTATAGAGCCCGACATTCATCTAGAAAGGTGTTCTGTTATACCAACTCAGGAGGGAACTTCTTAGCCCAGTACCGTTAATTGACAAGTGGGCAATCAAATTATATTATTTAAAATTTATATATTTTGGCGTGCAAATAGGTTTCGTGCATATAAGAAAAAGTAGTATTAATTTCTTTTTGTAGTCAAAATACTTTTGTAAATAGCGTATCTGTTCTTATCATTTTTATAAAAAAATATGATTGTTCACAAGTTGATTGCATCGTCGGGCTAGAACCACCAACAACCTAAGAGGGCAAGAATGACTTGCTAGCCTAATATCGGTGAATAATATTGCCATCCTACATGTCATCGGGTTCCTGGATTGGGTTCTGATGTCGTAGGATGGAATATTATTCCGCTCTACCACCGAATGCCTTCATCAGCAAGTCCTAATACCCCAAAAAGACTGTCCAACTGGCATTCCTTGATGGTTTCACATATAGTCTCAACTATACGCACACACTTATGTTTTGGACATAAGCGCCTAAAACCCAAACCAAGAAGCAAGGAAAATGAACCGAAAAGCAAGAAATGCAAAAGAAGGCTAACCCGCCTTCAAAGTCAATTTAGAAAGAAAAACCAAAGTGGTAGGAGGGCTAGCCTAAAACATCCAACTAGTGGAACTCCTTGATTGTGCAATGAAATTGGCACATTCCCAAGTGCTAACTCCAACACATTTCTAAAAGACATATCATAGAGGACTCCAAGCCGCCTCCAAATTTTTTTTTGACAAAGATTAAATAGTTTCTTTTCTGATTGTTTCTTCTTTTTGTTTTCAATCAATTTAGCCCAAATAAGTGGGTCTTTAAAAAGGCACTTGAATTCTTCCTCGAAAAAAGGCACTTGAATTTTATCCAAGCATTTCATTGATCGTTCCTCGAAAAAAGGCACTTGAATTCTTCCAAGCATAAGGATTAAAGCATTCCAATTCACAAAAATTAAAAGCATTCAATTCCACTCCAAATTAAAGCTTCCATGAGGTACGAGTCTAACGCAACACAAAGGAACCCAAACAGGTGCCCACGACTAGGAACAACAGGGGGACCAAACAAATCAGCGCCCGGGGAACAAACTCAACGCAAAGTCCCTCCAATTGGTGCACTTGGGTAGGGCTAACAAAGGAGCCACCCAACCGACACAAAAAAGAACCATCTAATTGCTCTCGGGTAGGGGCAGCGAGGAACAAATATCTAATTCAGGTGACCACAGCTAAGGGGCAAAGGCAGCCATCACCAACAGGCTCACGGGCAGGGACAATAAAGAGGGCAAGCTGAGCCCCAAACAAACACCAGAAAATTCATAGGTACGGACACCAAAGAGGGCAAGCTGCGCCCTAAACAAACACCAACAAACTCACAAGTAGAGACAGCAACAGGGCACAAAACCAGGCCCTCAACACAAAGAAATTAGAGGCAGAGACTCACGGCCAGGAGCAAAAAGGGGCAACCACCAACCCCAACACAAAGAGAAAACCACCAGCAGGTGCTCTCGGGTAAGGGCGGCGACAAAACACAAAACCAACACCAAACTCCCCAAAATCTTCGAAACAAAAGAGAAACCACACATTTATATCTCGAATAATAGGTGAGCAAAACCGAGTCCACAAAGTAGACTCCAAATAAGCCTCCAAGAAATCAAATATTAGCTGCATGTGTTTTGAACAAAGGGAGCAGCAAGGAACGAAAGCCAGCCCCCAAAACAAGTTCCAAAAGCCTCAAAAAAAAAAAGAAACAAATGTTGCATTCAACGTATATTTCCATAGAGAGACAACAGCAGTGAACAAACTCAAGTCCCAAAGCCAAAACTCTAAAAGCCCCAAAATTAAATGAAAGCCACCATGATATATTTCGAATAAAAGGAGAGGAACCCAAGAAACACAAAACAAAACCCCTCGAAGTAAAAATCTCCAAAAGCTTCAGCATTAAACCAGTATAGCCAAAAAGGAAACCGCAGCATAGAGAGCTAAAATAGCCCTGAAATACCCCACGTTAAACCAAGGCAGCAAGAAAAGCCGCAGCCCAGAGGGCTAAAACAGCCCTCAAACTTCAATATACCAGCATAAATATGATAAGAACATAGAGAAGAAATTAGCACATATATAAGAATTGGACCATGCCTTTCGTGAGCCTACACTTTCAACTAAGTATCAATATTTAAAATAGACCTACTAGTATGCATTTGAACTAAAGTAAGCTAAAATCTAACAGCTTGCCATGATTCCAACATTAAATACGAGCCAAGACAAACAAAATCCGACAGCTAACAGTGATTCCAACATTAAATGTCAACAAGAACAAAATAAACCACCCTATGCATGCATTTCCCCCTTCCTTTTTTATAGATTGAAGAAATATGTGCACAGTCCCTGTCGAACTAAGAAAAGAGGCAGAGGAAGAAGAGATTGGATACCTCACTCGAGCCTTTGCAAACAACCGAAGGAAATCAGAAGGCTTCCCAAACACCAAGCTTACACGCACGAGAGGTGAATCCGGCAGAGTCTCCCCAAGCGCCAAATTTTCGTAAGCTTTCAACCCTTCCCCAAGAGGGGTTTTTTATAGCCGAGGAGGAGAGGAGAAGAAATATTGTCACTTACCGGAGGTGAGGTAACCCGAGAGAAAGAAAGGGAGAGAATGGAGACCAAGAGCTGGGGCGTAAGGCATCAGAAAGGAGTTTTGCCAACGAAGTGCTCCGAAGAGGCAGGCTAGATGGGTTAAACTTACCCAAACATGAAATTAGAAGGCAGCGGGAGTCTGCCATTGCAAGGGAAGAAGCCAACGAAGCATCAGGAAGAAGGATCCTCGGGCAGAAAGCGTTGGGTGAGGATTAGAGGTCAACGATGGAGGAGGGAAGCAAATTCGAGAGTGGTGACAACTAGGGCTCGATCTGGGACCAACCATGCGGAGCCGCGAGCTAGGGACTTAAGGCCATAATAAGAGACCCCCCATCGGCTATATAACTCTAAACATACCCCCCAAGTATAAATAATATTTAAATTTTCTTGATTTGCGCACTTCTCGCTCGTGCAAAAAATCATATCAAAGTGGGAGTCCTTAACTAAAGTCAACGTTCCGGACACAGCGGCGCGATCTGTTTCGTCATCCGAGGTCGCCTGGACGACTTCGTCGATGGTCGGGTCGAAAACGCGTCAAACTCGAATTTCTTTAAACTTATCGCTCATGATCGATCGTGGAGCCTCCTACAGGTGCGGGAGACGTGAATTTCGATAATTTTGTGCATCGATGTGTGAATTGTGGTATTCGTGCATCGTGAGTGTGTGCGGACGACACAAAGAGTTCCTAAGGTTTTTTTTTAATAGCTCCTATGGGTACTCGACTCGAGTTTCGTCGCACTGGTTTTAATCGACTCAACTAAATGTTTCGGATTTAGAGCCGACGATATGAAACTGCGAGGAGTCAAGAAGTGACTCGAATTTCTAATTGGTGCGGGCCCCAGACTAGTCCTCTAAGAGACTAAGAGGAGTCGATAGGAAACCCTAAGGCTAGATCTTAGGCTCTAAGAAGAGTAAGAGACCTCACCAAAAATGAGCGACAATCCAATGATATGACATGACATGAAATAGTTGAGGCCTAGATAATGAAAAGCGATATTCCTATAATTAGATTGATGACTCTTATGAATATATTTATAATGACACATTCATGGATGATTATATGTTTCATATAGTTGTCATGTTTTCCTATGTTTAACTTGGTGAAACAAAACCGTTGCTCGCTTTTTAGCTTATCCACACTTGTAACCCCAAATCTCCTCTTCACCATGCTCTAATCTCTCTCTCTCTCTCTGGACACAACCACTTCTCTTCCTTGCAAAAAAACTCAAGCTCTTCCTATCATTTTATACGATTTAGTTCGTATTATTGGAATTAAATGATTGGAACGGTTCCAGATTTCAGCTAATTATTACATTTATTTCTTGAGAGTTACGTGATACATATTTAATAAGGTCAATACTATAATGATGCGGTTCTCTTTCAGCCACACTAATTTTGCAAATTTGCATTTCTTTTATTTCAAACATTTACTCGGTTAATTTCTTATGGTTCCATGGTTTCTGCAAATCCTAAATATTATCAGTTAAGAAATCTTGCTTTCTCGTAGCATGAGTTGTGATTGTTTAGTAGAGGATTACAGCGAACGAAAACCCCTTTACCAAAGGTGATTTATGCAAAGGGAGATGTTCTTTCTGAAATTTTGGTCTTAAAACATAACAAAAGCCAAAGGAGAAGAACACTTATTATAATATGTAGATTTATAAATAGTATAATACTGTCAATAGGTTGGAATACGATAATATGTGGATCCACATCAGCCTTTCTAGTGTTTGAAGCTTTTCCTTATTGATCTTAATTTTGGAGCTTGAACATTGTTTTTTAGCAGGCCGTAGACTATTCATCGTCATTGAATTGCTTATTTAAGTTCTCTTAATTTGAATTCATCTATTTATTTGTTAGGGGTTCGCTTGGATTTGGTGAGGAAGCTCTTCAATCTCTTCCAGGAAAAATTGGATCTCAGGTTTTGCTCTGACATATTTTCGTTCTTAAAGAAATAATTAACCTTATGTTTTTTAATCTGAACATTTTTCTTGATATTTTTGCTGTTCTAATTGTTGTTTGGATTTGTGCAGGATGTGAGTGATGTTCTTGCAGCTTTGGACTACGTAAGTGTGAGAGGACTAGTCGACGGCTCTCGAGTGGCTGTTCTCGGGGGCTCTCATGGTGGATTCCTTGCAACTCATCTTGTTGGCCAGGTTTTCCCTTCTTTTGATGATTTATCTGTTTTATCCTAAAGTTAAAGTTTTTGAGCTTCATAGTTCCAATTCATGCCAAAGCATGCTAAGTTCCAATTCTGGCCAAAGCATGCTTGCATATTAAAATGCCATATTTCTTGTATGAGGTAATTACATATAGCACTAGAAACCTTCCTATTTACAAAACTAGACCCCGAGGTTTTTTTTTTTTTTATTTATTTATTTTTTTTTTAACAATTGAATTGGTATATTTACTCATGCCACGATCTAACCGATAGAAACTTGATAAAAATGAAAAATATGGGGTTGGAATTTTGTTGTGAATATTGATATTTGAGCGAGAATTTGAAAAATGGATGAAAGTGGGTGCTAGATTGCTATGTATGTAATTGTTGCTTTATGTGTTTGGAAGTGTAAAGAAGCTCCGATGTTAAACTCAATCTGGATTGACTGAGACATGGTTAGAATTTTGTTTGCTTATTGTGATATCCAATATATCCAGCTTCATTGCTTCTCAGCTTTTAATTAAAGACAGCTGTTTATGTTCCTCTCTTTATATATTCATGTTTGACATTTTCTCTTCCTAAATGGAAAATAGCCATTTTACTTTTTTTTTAATCCACTGTATTATACAGTATTTACACTCAAAATAGCATCATGTATTATATTGTATGGAGTGAAATTAGTCATAGATTTAGTTTCATTAGTTTTTTCATAACAATTTAACAATTTATCAACCATGTAAGAAAAGGGGGATTATTTTACGACATATAAGCACACTTAAATCTAAGCACATCTTAAAAAATCATTTCGTCATGCAAAACCATTAAAAATTTATATGCATATGATGAAACACCCTACATATTAAATTTTCGAACAATTTTAAATCTATCCTTATTGAAAATTGCAGTGATCTTATCACACAATCAAAACCAAAAGAATTGTGTTACTGTGCTGTTTTTTGGAAGATTTTGATTACATTTAGGAAGATTTACATACACACCCACTCAATTCCAATGTATTTACATATCTAACATCCAAACTTCATTTTTTACATACATACCACCTTACCTTTGCATGAAAAGGTGTATTTCCCTTTTTAAAAAGTTAAAATAGTGGTATTTTTGATGTGATACGAAAGATCTGGGTGGCATATATGTAAAAAGCAAAGTTTAGGTGTTAGGTATGTAAATACATAACAATTGGGTGGTATGCCTATAAATACCCCCTACAATTATTGAAATTGAAATGATTGTTTGATGTAGGCTCCAAATAGGTTTGTTGCGGCAGCCGTCCGAAATCCAGTCTGCAACCTTTCGCTAATGGTGGGTACCTCTGATATTCCTGATTGGTGCTATGTAGAAGCCTATGGAAAGGAGGGTAAACAGTTATTTTCAGAGGCTCCTACTGCTGAAGATCTAAGTCACTTTTATTCAAAGTCTCCCATTTCACATATTTCAAAGGTATATGCTTCTTATTGCTTAATTACTGACATTTACATACATAGCGCACAATTCTTATGTATTTACATCTCTCACACCTAAAATTTCATATTTACGCATACCACTAAAATCTTTAATATCACATAAAAAATAACACCATTATCACTTTGTAAAAGTGAAATACACTTTATCATGCGTAGATTTAAAGCACCAAAGTGCTATGTATGTAAATATGAAAGTTTAATTCTGATATATGTAAGTACATAAGAATTGTGTGCCGTGATATAAATTTCTAAATTTATATCACGGCACACAATTCTTATGTACTTACATATATATATATATATATATATATATATATATTGGAATAATCATGCATATTGCGTAAGCTTATTTGAAAACACTACCTGAACAAAAAGATTGCAGTTGCTCGCCGTCCTAACTGTACCCGGAAAGAGGGAATGCAGGCTTTAACTTAGATTTTGTCCACCCAATTCCTATGTATTTACATATCTAACACCTAAACTTTACTTTTTAAACTTATAACACCGAAATCTTTCGTATCACATAAAAAATACCACCACCTTTTATTTTTAAAAATTGAAATATACCTTTCACGCATAGGTATGGTGACGTGTATGTAAAAAATTGAAGTTTGGCTCTTAGATATGTAAATAAATAGGAATTGAGGGGTATATATGTAAAAAATTTTCAAATTGATTGACAATTTTTGTAATGCCAAGCTTTCAATTTATAAATAAGTTGTTTTTTTATCTTCAAAATATATATATTTTTTTTGCAGAAAACTCTCTTTTAAGTTAAAAGAAAATATCACTGTTCCTATTGATGACATTTGCATTTTAAGCCTTAAAAGATAATGTTGCTAAGTTCATGTTAATCACGATCAATTATGTTTACAGGTGAAGACACCTATCCTTTTCCTCTTGGGCGCAAAAGATCTTCGTGTTCCAGTTTCAAATGGCTTGCAGGTCTGCTAATCTCTTTGTTCATTGCCTTGAAATTTAAACTTCCATTGCAAGTAATTTTTTAGTGCTTTTTCTCTTATCATATTATTGACATCCATATGGTTTTTTCTGAGAAAAATACTGATTTTTCAATGAGAAGATTCATCCAATTACATACGAAAAATGTTAATGTTGTTGCCCAACTCACAACTAAGAAAATGATATCTTGGTGTGTTGGCACTAAAAATGATAAAGGAGAAAACTTAATAACTTTATTTTACTATATATTGCAATGATGTCAACCAATCATGCCAATTTATCAATTTTTTTTTTATTTTTTTTTTAATTTTGATTGCAGCATTATAGCATTTCACATTAAAAACATAGCTATTTGATATGTGCATATAAGTATAGGGTATGCCTTAGCACAAAGGTTAAAGGTCATCTATCATGCAACATACATTTTTCAAAAACAATATTTTCTCAAGAAGCATAGGGTGTTTTCTCGATGTTTTACTATTTAGACCGTCACCATGAATCTATTTTTGTACTATTTAGAAGTTTTTGTGGTAGAAAGCTAGTTTTAATAATCAAATATGCTGAAGTTTCGTGTCGTATGAATATTTTTGTCTAATTTTTTCAATAAAAAAATTATTTCTAATACTCACAAGAACTTTCAAAAATACTGTTTTAGGTTCACCTTTATCAAAAATTACATCCAGCCCAAACAGATCCTTGGGTAAAGATGGACATTAATTATGAACCAAAGTACTCTTGTTCATTGTTAGAATGTGTTAATAGTTCACATTATCTTTTATATCAAGGGGTATTTACATAAATGCCTCGAAATTCTTATGTATTTACATTTTCTAACACTTAAATATTCATATTTACATGCATATTGCTCAAGTCTATAACATCACATAAAAACCACCACCATCACTGTCTTTTAAAAATTGAAATATATAATTTTCATGCATCGGTTTATGACACAAAGATGTATCAAGTGTCAATATTAAATTTTGTGTGTTAAGTATGTTTTGAGAATTGTCTTCAAATTCTCATGCAATTAACTTTGCTTTTCTAATGATTCAACTTTTTTTCATCTTACAAAAAACTTTATGAATGTTTGTTGACTCCGAAGTCTATATTTCCTTGATTTTCAGCTGTAACTAATATGTGTTTGAATTTGTAATCAGTATGCGAGGGCTCTGAGAGAAAGAGGAGTTGAGGTGAAAGTCATAGTATTTCCTGATGATGTTCATGCGATCGAACGGTCAGTATTTTTTCTCTAATTATCGTTTTCCTAACAAAATAAATTTCTTATTTGAGCTTTAAAATAATTTTTGCAGACCACAATCGGACTTCGAAAGCTTCCTCAACATTGGAGTTTGGTTTAACAAATATTGCAAGCCATAAAGCTTGAATTAAAACAAAACCCGGCTTTTGAGTTATATATGAAATTAGGTATATTTCAATTATAAATTGTCATTCCAGTATTAACTCTTTTTTTTTTAAAGATGCATAATTTTTATTATCATTAATTATGTTATTTATATTCTATAAAAATATTTATATTATTTGTTGATAACTAATTTTTTGCATTTATTGTTTGATTTGGTCTCTTTATTACATATTTTATTAATTTATCATCTTAAAAGCAGATAATCTTGTTTTTATCAGGCTTCTCATTTGGAAATCTTTTATTTTTTTTATATATTTTGATTTTTATAACATAAATTTGTATGCGATGCAGGTCCACTAATACTTAGTATTGCTGTAAGATTTCTTCAATGATAAAAATTTTTAGAAATAGCAAATGTGCAATTAGGATTGTTATCGATTTGATTTCGAGCTGAGTTGGGATTGGATCAAAATTTGCTTTGAAAAAAATTTGATTCAAAATTTTAACTTGTAGATCAGATTCAGAATTGAATTAATTTTCAAGTTAAATTTATTAAATTTGCTAATCTAATATTATTTGGGTTGTTAATAATCCAATTTTCAGCTAAATTAGGGTGGGGTCGGCTCGAAAGAAATTAGTGCAAAATTTTGGCAAATAATTTAGCTCATTTATTTTGATTCGATCTTGACTCAGGTAAAAAATTGGATTAAATTTCGAGCTATGAACGATCTTTGAGCTAAATTTGTAGCCCTTTGTGTGATTAAGCTTTACACGTTTATATGTATATCATCTTTTATTTAGGCATTAAAGGTATATTCTATTTCTTGTGATATAAAAGATTTTGGTAGTATAATATCAAAAAAAAAAGGTTTAGATATGTAAATACAAAGGAATTGTGTGGTACTGACATGAGGCTTAGGAGGGTTGAACTGATGGGTTCGGTCTATTGTTGCTTGGACTAGCTGGTCAAATGGGGTTGGTTTTATTGCTCAAGGAGGGGCCTCTCCTTCCTAATATTATTAATTGGTCTTTTATGTTGTTTTAGGTTTTTGTTATCTTTTGATTTCAACTTTGTGTGGATGGCAGTCGACATCTTGTTTTCTTCTTCGAAGGTTGTATCTGATGGATTGAGCTGTGCTCTGACTGTATCACTCTCCAAAGATGGTGATCATCTACCCTAGGTTCCCCCTCCATAGGCTACCTGCCACCCTTCTTCTCTCCATCCAATCGGCCTTCCCACCAACTCTTGTAACCTGACATTTCCCTGCATGCACCTTTCTATTGTCACCTATATTCTCTGCTCCTCCATTACATCTAACAACAACCCCACCTGCACATATTCCTACCTGCACTTCCTACAACCACCCGTATACCCTTCTCTTACCTTTCCCTATCACATCCAGCAACATCACCACTGCAATACCACTCGTTCATATTCTCTCCTTATTGCCTTGGCCCTCTCTTCCATACAACCAGTTTCCTGAATATCAGATTTGGTCCACGTGTTGCCTTAACCTCACTCCACCATACAACCTGCCATAACTGGCCACCGGCCTACACTTAGCCAGTCTTTGTGTGACTATCGTAACCTTCCCAACATGTTCACCACCTTCGTCCTCGCCCTAGGGTCCATTGCATCTGTTTGTCATTTATTTCCTATTTAGATGAGTCTTTATTGTAACCCTTTTGAATTTCAACAATAATATTTTCGTTTCTTTTATGGTTTGAGTAAAGGTTTTCTAGCATCCGCCTCTACCTAAGTCGTCTCTATCAAAACTTTTCTTTCTTATTCCCAAATCTTAGCCACAATTTGACCTATCATTTGCTGATTTTCAAAAACCGCAACCCCGCATTAGTTTCTTATATCTTTCACGAGTTTCCTACCCTCCTCTTTCATCTCCTAATCCTAAACCCTAGCCATGCCACCAAGGAGATACATGCTCGAGCATAGCCAAGAATATACAAAACGGGAGATCCATTGACTTCAACGAAGACTTAAGGACATTGAGGATAACCTCTAGGAGGGACTTACCCTTGATGATGACAAGGAAAGCTAATCAGGAGAAAGGGACAAGAATTTCAACCACTTCAGTAGGAAGATTTTTAGTGGTGAAGAAGAGAGCTACGCCACTTGAGTATCTGATATCAAAGGAGGACGAGAGAGGCCACTTATGGAGAATGAGAGAATCTAAAGATGAAGCAAGAGACTCAATATCAGGTCCGACCAGCTTACTACAGACAGGTATATACTCTAACTTTAGAAGTGGAGAGATACAACACTTAGCCACCTCCACATTCTACAGGCAGAGTTCAACTTCATAATCTTATAGGAGAACACCCAAGATGACTCCGTCAGAGGACATACTGATTCAGAGCAGTGAACTTGTGAAACTAATTTACATCCCTAAATCTATCCCATACGGAATGTGTTGTAAGTTTCACAGATTTGGACACATTAAATTAAAACACAACCAGAGGGATGATCTGTTTTACTAAGCAGAGTGCTTTTGAGAATTTGCGTAATGATACGATTGATCTGGGATAAGATGAAGACTTCATAAAGGATTCTCAACTTGCAACCAACGAGGAACACACACCACTAATTCCAATTAACCCCAAGATAGAGATCCTAAGTGAGACAACAGTAGCCAATCTAGAAGGTAGTGACCTCGATGTAATAGGAGTTCAGGTACAATATGAAATTGTGGTACTGTGAGCTACTGTTTTAATGGCATTTAGAGGAATATTGACAGGATTGACCATAGATGTCCAAAAGGGTCATGAGTTCGAAGGGCTAACATCAGATGCAGGTTCACCAAAAATAAGAGAAATGCAAAATTTTCATATGTATTGACTCCTTTCTAAGCTACCCCTAAGGAAAGTGGTCCAACATATCATAAATAGGATCAATTTGTGTCATGTCGGGAGTATTACACGGAGTTATTTAGAGGTTCTTTTCAGTCCTGTAGGGAATGCATCGTTAGATGCCCAGATAGTGGAGAAGAGCAACTTTGATATCGGTCCGATGAAGATTTTTCAATGGAATCCAGATCTTATTAATGAAGAAAAAGTCTCCCTTGAGTGGGTGCTAGCAAGAGTGGTGCAGCCTATCACAAATTTCACCATAGAGTTGACTTCTCCTCACATAATAGTTCGTCAGCTACACTCAGCCGAGTACGCAGAGTGGAAGATGCACGTTACAAATAGGATGGCTCGAGAAATGATCTGTGAAAGTACTCGTACAGCTACAGTTTAGCTCAAGTTGGGCTGAAGGTGGATAGATACCTATTTTATCTGAATGTACTTTAGAATTACAACGCATATTTGATTTACATACCAGGACACCTGACGTCATGCTATGAGGAGCCTGATGCTTTGACGATTGAAGTCGAAGCTCCACTAACCTTAAGAGACTGACGAGGGGTTTAGGAGGGTGGAACCGACAAGTTCAACTAAATTGGTTCAGCCCACTATTGCTTGGACCAACCTGTGTAAGGGGGTTGGTTTTACCACCGAAGGAGAGAGGTCTTCCCCTCCTTATCTTATATTATAAATAGGTCCTTTATGTTGTTTAGGGTTAGCTTTTGTTGTTTTTTTTATTTCAGTTTTGTGTGGAAAGGCACTGACATTCTGCTTTCTTCTTCGAGGGTTGTATGCGATAGTTTAGGTGGTGCTCCGACAGCATTTCTTTCCTGAGTTAGTGATCATCTACCCTAACTTCCCCCTCCACATGCTACCAACCACCCTTCCTCTCCCCATCCAACCAACCATCCCACCAACCCTCATAACATGATATTTCCCCAGATGCATCTTTCTACCATCGCCCTTATTCCCCACTCCTTCCTCTTCACATCTAACAACAACCCTACTTGCACTCTTTCCTGCCTACACTTCCTACTATCACTCATATACAGTTCTCTGGTCCTTACCTCGTCACATCCAGTAGCAGTCCCAATGCAAGTCACTCCTACACTCCTAATACCAGTCGTATTCCCCTCCACCTATCTCAACATCCTCCTGTTGCAACCACATCATACTCTCTCGTAATTGCCCTTGCTTTCTCTTCCATACAACTGGTTTCCTGAATATTAGATTTGGCCACTGCTGCCTTAACCCCACCCCATCATACAACCTTCAATAACCGACTACCTGACCTACACCTGACCAATCTTTGTGAGACTGTCACAACTTTCCCATCCATCACTATCCGCTGTCTAGTTGGTGTTCACTTCCTTCACCCTCACACTAGGAGATCGTTGCGTCTATTTCCTATTTATTTCTCGTTTTGATGAGTCTTCCTTGTAACCCTTTTGAATTTTAGAAATAACATTTTGTTTTCTTTTATGGTTTGGGTTAGCTTCGATATCATTTGGTATCAAAGCTAGCATAACCCTAGTCCCATTATAGGGTTTTCTAGCATCCACCTCTACCCAAGCTGCCTCCACCAAAATTTTTCTTTCATATTCCCAAACCTTAGCCACATTTGACCTAACCTTGATTCTCCTTTGTTGATTTTCAAAATCAGCAACCTCACATTAGTTTCCTATACCTTCCATGAGTCTCCTACCCTCTTCTTTCGCCTCCTAGCCCTAAACCCTAGCCATGCCATCAAGGAGATACATGTCTGAGCTTACCTGGGAAGAGATATAACCGAAGATCCACCGATTTTAGCGGAGAGTGGCAGACATTGAGGATGACCTCCGGAAGAGACTTACCCTCGATGGTGATAGGGAAAGCCGATGAGGAGAAAGGAACGAGAATTTTAACTATTTCCATAGAAAGATTTTCAGTGGTGAAGAAGAAGTGCTACAACACCTGGGAATATGTAATAAGTGGCAGAAAGAGGAGACCACATACGGAGAATGAGAGAATCTGAAGATGAAGCAAGAGACACAATACTAGTTCTCACCAATTTACAACAGACAGGGGGTGCATAATCTAACTTTAGAAGTGGAGAGACTATATCACCGAGCAACCCTCACATCTTACAGATAGAGTTCACCCTCAAAATCTTATAGGTCAAGCATGCCTGGGAGAACATTTAAGATGACCCCATCAGAGGACAGGCTAATTCTTAGTGAACATAAGGAACCAATTCTCATCCCTAAATTTTTCGCAACCAAGAAGTGTTGGAACTATCACGGATTTGGGCATGTTGAATCATCATGCACAATCAGGGGGTGATCTATTTCATTGAACGAGGCGTTGTTGAGAAATTGGGCAATGACATAGTTGATCCAGGAGAAGATGAAGACTTCAGAGAGGATTCTCAAGTTGCGGCCAATCAGGAAGAGACACCACCACTTCCAGTTGACCCTAAGATGTAGATTCCAGCTGAGACAATAGTACCCGTTCTACAAAGATAGTGACCTTAATGCAATGGATGTTCAGACAGAGAATGAAACTGTAATGCCTTGAGCTATCGTTTCACAGGTGTTGCGAGGAATATCAATAGGATTAACCTTAGATATCCAAAAGGATCATGAGCTTGAAGGCCAACATTAGATGCAGGGTAACCATAGGCATGAGAAATGCAAAATTTTCAGATGTATAGACCCCTTCCCAAGTTATCCATAAAGAGAGTGGTCCAGCACGTTAGAATTGGATCCCTTTGTGCCATGTTTGAAGGATTACACAGCTTTTTAGAGGTAATTTTCAGTCAAGCAGAGGACACATTGTCAAATGTCTAATCAGGAGAGATAAACCCCAACTTTGAAATGGGCCCGAGAAGTTTGATGAAGATGAGAATTCTTCAATGAGATTCAGTCCTAACAGTGAAGAAAATATCTCCCTTGAGTGGCGCTAGTGAGAGTGGTGCAACAAGTCATATATTTAACCATAGAGTGGACTTCTCCTCACATTCTAGTTCATCAGTTGCACTCAACTGAGTATACAGAGTGGAAGAGACAGGTTGCAACTGGAATGACTCAATATCTGATTTGTGAGAATACTCGTCTGGCTACAGTTTTGACACAGATTGTGCCAAGGGTGGATGAATAACCATTCTATAAGAATGTGTTTTTTAATGACCACCTATTTGATGGACCTACCAGGACACTTGACAAAATGCTAGGAAAAACCTGAGGCTTCGACGAATGAAGTCGAAGTTCCCTCGACTCAAGAGACAGACACGGGGCTTAGGAGGGATGAACCAATGGGCTTATTCCACTGTTGCTTGGACCGACCGGTCCAAGGGATTGGTTTTACTACCCAAGAAGAGGGGCCTCCCCATTCTTATATTATAAATAAGTCCTTTATTTTGTTTAGGGATAGTTTTGTTGTTTTTTTATTTCAGTTATGTGTGGACAACTGCTAACATCTTAGTATTCCATTCGAGGGCTATATCCGATGAATTAAGTGTTGCACCAACTATATCTCTTTCCCACAATAGTGATTATCTACACTAACTTCCCCATTCACTCTCTACCAGCCACCCCTCCTCTCATCATCCAAGCGGTCATCCCAACAACTCCCTTAACCTGACATTTCCTCCCACATGCACCTTTCTATCAACACCCACATTCCCTGCTCCTTCCCTGCCACATCCAGCAACAACCCCACCACCCACATACCTTCCCTGATCCTTTCCCCATCACATCCGGCAGTAGCCCCGCTGGAACCTTCCCATCCATCACCATCTGTTGTCCAGCCAGTGCCTCCAGAATTGTCAAGCGATCCACAATATTGATTAAAAATAAATGCTATTTTATGGAGCAATTAAGCACAAGCTAATTTTAATTTGCCAAGCAATCTACAAAAACAGATCAAAACATTTAAATTTACTTCAATCATCATATTCTAAGAAAACAAATAAACAAACAAGTAGAAGACTGTTCAAAAGTCTAATTTGATTATTCATGAAACAATAATAATAAAAAAAAAATTAATTAAGTCTAATAACACTTCTGAATACCTTTTGCATTAGAAATAAAACTATATATTAATATCACAGTTAGTATTAATTTGCATACATTCAATGTGTGTAAACGGAAACAAACAAAAATGGACAATTGCACCTTAAGCTTGCTATTTACAAATCGACCATCATCTTTCATCCATTTTTCAAATTCACACTCAAATGTCAAAATTAACGGTAAAACTCTGACCCATATTTTTTATTTTAATCAAATTGTCAAAAATTTTATCGTGACATACGTAAATACATCGGTTCGACAGTTTAAAAAGACCACCCGAATGGTTAATTTGTAAATATCAATGTTTCAGGTGGTCTGTATGTAATTATCCCAAAAAAATAAATAAACAAAGACCAAAAAAATTAAAAAAAACAATAACTACAAATCATAAACAAGTCAGGAATTGCTGAATTTCAAATTTCCTCTTTTTTCTTTCATCAAAAGTCCAAAATGACAATAGGCATTAAAATTTTGGTAAAGAGAACTACCAAGTACTGGTGAATAACTTTATAAATATATGATTATGAATATTGCAGAAAATATTGTGGATAATTTGCATGGAATTACAAATAAATAACTACCACCTTTTTTCTCCATAAGCTTACTGCAACATGAGCTCCGTTCGTCAACATTTTAACACAGCAGAGCTTAGTGGAGTTGGATTTAAAATTAGGCCAAGTAAATCACCTAAGGATTTTTGTTAGCTGTTTGAAGAAAATGGGCTTGAACTTTGCTTGAGAAGTAGTTTTCAAGCCTGAATAGGAACAACGAAGCAAGTTAGATAGATTTTGACAAGGCGCAAATAAAATAGAAAAAAAAAAAATTACATACAAACGACTCAATTTCTGTGTATTTATATATCAAACATCTAAACTTTAATTTTTACATGTCGCCTTATGCATAAAATGGTGTATTTCACTTTTTAAAAGTTAAAATGATGGTATTTTTTACGTGATATGAAAGATTTGGGTTGGTATAAATATAAAAAAATAAAATTTAAAGATGTTAGATCTGTAAATACAAAGTAGGGAATATGTATGTAAACGCCCCAAAATAGAATTAGAGCACAAGAAAAGCTTCCCAGGCAAATTCTAAATCCACTAACAAAACATTTTCTAGAAAAAAAAATGAGTGAGAATGACCTGAACAGAATGGGTTTTAAAATAGGGGCATTTACAGACATACATACCTGATAGCACTCAATTCTAATGAATTTACATATCTAACACCTAAATTTCACTTTTTAAGTTTATACAACATATTAAATTTTAAAAAGTGAAATACACATTTTCATGCAGGCATAAGTTTGTATGCGTGTGAAATTTGAAGCTTAGGTGTTAAATATGCATAAACATAGGTATTAACATTGCCGTTGCCGGTCCCAAGCCCGAATGTGAAAAGTGGAGGGTTGCGTTAGGTAGTCGACAGCAAGCGTAAAACTTGTCGAAAAAAATCATGACATGAATCCTATATAGGATGAATTGGAGAAAAAGGATTCATGTAGTCGACCCCACGTAGTGGGATTAAGGCTTTGTTATTGTTGTTGTTGCTTTGAGATTAGTGCATAAAAGAGTTCGGAATTGATCAGCTATTCATGTATTAAACTCGTCTGAAAGAATATCCAATGTATATATCAATCCTGACCTAATTTTTTCGAGCAAGATGAATAACCGTACCGGGTCGAACACTTGTAATAGATGGTCTCAGGAGAGTTGTAGGTCTTAGCATTCGCAAACATCCTCTTAACATCAGCAACAAACATCTCAAATGTAACATAATATTGTTCAGACTCGAGCCTCTTCGACATCGTTTTTAGGTCTGCACGGGAAATTGCATTAAAGAATTAGAAAGCTAACAATTAACTATAAGAAAGAATATTCAATTATTTGATGTTTTTTTTTTTCAAGTCCATAAGATCAACAAAATTATACAATTAGCATTCACAAAACATGTCATGCCAGAAGAATGATTAAAAAAAAGGCATTTACATACATACCACACAATTCTTATATGCATGTGAAATTTAACCCCTAAAATTTAATTTTTTACATTTGTAACACTCAATCTGCTCATATGAAATGAAAAATATTATTATCATTAACTTTCAAAGAGAAAATACAGCTTTCAAGCACAGATAGCGGTATAAATATAAAATCAAAGTCAAGTGTTAGATAGGCAAATACATAAAGATCGTGCGGTATGTATGTAAATCTTTTAAAAAAGGTGGGTGAACAGGTAACATTTACAGAATAAAAAAGGGGCTATTAACTAGCAGTTGGACAAACAAAGAACCAAAACCATGAAATTGACATAGGCAGCGACTGATTAAAAGGCAAAAGAAGGGGCCATTAACTGCTATTCCCTGCTAAATACGTCCAAAATCACAATACAACAAGCTTTAGGGGTAATAAAACACATTTTTCCTCACTTCTTTAAATAGAGCTTCAGTCATTCATTTTAGCAGCATTTATTACATTGATCATTTACAAAATAATAACAAAGGAAACTACTCTTGGTCAAAATTAATTCGAGAATCAATCATATAAAATGCACAAGCACTTAAATTTAAAACTGCCATTAAGTACTGCAAGAACACTACAAAACTTTTATTTTCAATCATATACACAAAATTGACCACTCCATCTTTTGTTGAAACAGGAGAACTGTCATCACTTGGCTCTCGAATGTAAAACATATCAGGCTCCTTAAGTTCCAGAAAGTTTTATAGATCCAAATCTAATATTTTTTGCCCGTCTACTAGCACTTGTATTGTTTAAATTGGCAATATTACCTTATATGAATTTATATCTGACGTGGGCTATTGAGCGGCTGGTTGAATCAGCCTGGGCAAATTCCGGTCCAGCAGGTGGCCGGACCAACTGGCCTGCTTAGGAAACGAATTACCGCCCCTTTTCATTCCTTTCAGCCTAATCTAATCCCTCCCTTAGAAAGAATCCCCTTCCTATCCTATTGCTTGCCTTTTCTATCCCCTTTCATATTCCTATTTCTTTCCGATTCCAATTCCTTCCTATTCTATTGCTTGTCTTTTCTATCCCCTTTCCTATTTCTATTGCTTTTCAATTCCAATTTCTTCCTATCATAAACTACTACCAACTATTATATAAGTGCTCTTTGAGTGCTGTAGAGTTAGTTTTTGGATTGTCTCTAATTTCAGTTTGCTTTCTTCGAGTCTTTCCCTTCTGAGGGCTGTACCCGACGGCGAATAGTGCTCCGGTTGTAACTCGTCAAAGGCGGTGATCTTCTCCAAAGGAATAAGTGGTGCTCAGGCTATAACTTGATCCCGTGAGGATAATTATCTTTCATTTATTCCGGTTACGGTTTGCTGCAATTTTCCTGTCCGTCTGCTGACCAGCCACCCCTCCGCTCTCTAGCAGCCAGTCCTTCCATTTCCTGCTGCTGTCCAGCCATCCCGCTGCCGTCCAACAGCCTCACCGACCTTCCCTGCACCGCCGCCACCTGCTGCCAGCTACCGGCCCATCCTATTGCAGCTTCCAGACCTGCCGCCCTCCACTTGAGGAGGTCATTTCTGTTTTTTAGGTTGTTTTCCTTTTCTTAAATCTGCAGTTGTCATTGTTGCATACTGTTTGTGTGTTCTTGTGTTGTTTTTGTTGAAGAGTTGTCTTGTAATTTCTTTGAAATTCAACAATAATATTGGTTATTTGTTCTTGATTTGGGTTAATTCCGGTATCATTTGGTATCAGAGCTAAGTCTAACCCTAGCCCTGTCCTAGGGCTCCTTACAGTCCGCCAATTTTTTTTCCTTCTCCCCTTTCTTTCTTTTCCTTCCCTCTCCTTTTTTCTTCTTCTTTTCTTCCTATCTTTTAGTTCTTTCTTTTTCTCTTTTACCTTTTCTTTCGCAGGTTCCAAACCTTCAACCATGCTATTGAAGATATGCATATCAAATCTTACCCGAGACGAAATATAACGAGAGATCCGTCATCTGCAATAGAGATTAGCAGAGTGGATAATGTAACCCGAGGTGATATTACCCTCGATTGCGATCGAGAGAGCCAAAGGGACAACAAGGACAAGATTTTAACCCGCTCCACATAGAAGATATCAGCGACGAAGAATACCGACTGCAACACTTTGGAATGCAATATTAGAGGAGAATGAGAGAAGAGGCCACATACGGAGGCCAACGAATTTTGGCATCAAGATGAATCTTCTAGAATTTGAAGAAGGTATGGATCCAGATGAGTTTGTTGATTGGCTGCAATCAGTTGAATGGATCTTCGAGTATAAGGATGTGCCAGAGAACAAATTGGACAAGCTAACTGTCATTAAACTGAAGAAGAATGCTTCCTTGTGGTGGGAGAACTTACAGAGACATAGGAAATGATAAGGCAATGATAAAATTACCAAGTTGGAGAAGATGAAGAAAGCCATGCAGAAGAAATATCTTCCATCTCACTACCGCCAGAACATGTTTCTGAAACTCCACAATCTACAATAGCGAAACCTTTTAGTGGAGGAGTTCACAGCTTAGTTCGACCATTTACAGAAAATGCGAGTTGATCAAGCCAGAAGAGCGCGATATAACCCAGTACCTTGGGGGCCTGAAGCCCACTATTAGTAACGTGATGCAGCTACAACCGTACTGTAAGCTTGGGGATGTTCAGAATGTAGTCCTGAAGGTGGAAAAACAACAGGAACAGAGTAGGCTACAATCGTCCTTCACGTAGCAACCGTTAGTCAGGCAGCACCTATAGCTATCACGACTAATAAGAGTATCTTAGGAGGAGCAAGCAAAGCCCGTACAAGAAAATGACAAGCCGGATAAGAGTGGGAAGCAATAGGAAACGGTAGCTCCGCCACTACAACACCCTCCAAACAATGCTTTCCATGAATATTGGCAAATCAGGCTGTAATAACAATTTGTTCATGAATAGCTCGTATTTGGCTGAATAAGTAGCTCGCGTTTGAATCGTTCGCTAAGTGCTATTAGAGATCAAATTTTATTTTTTGTTTTATTATTTTTGTAACAAACATAAAAATAATGTTTGCATATCTGTTTTTTGTTTCATTTCTGTTTTTTTATTTTTTGGGGTAACAATTATGTTTTTAAAATACTAAAATAAGAAAAAAACATGTTCTTGTATGTTTTTAAAACACCAAAATAGCCCTTC